GGGCCGCGCTCACGTGCGGGCCGCGGCAGCGAGTCCCCGCGTCCCTGCCCCGGCCACTTCCAGGTCACTCGGGCGGTCCCTGAGCCCCCGGCCCCTGAGCTGGAGCCCAGTGGCAGCCTTTGTCCGTCCACTCTGCTGATCCCTGGGGGGCTGCCCCGGGGCGCCGGAAGGCGGTGGCCTGCGGGTCAGCGGGCCTGTTCGTGCGCTTTTGTTTCGATTTAGCGCCTTGGAGAAAGCAAAGGCCGAGGGTGGCGGTAAGCCTTGGCGGAGTCCTGACCTGCGGGGAGTTGGGGTGGGTGTAGCAACGTGTAAATAAAGCTGGATCTAAACCTAAATTTGGCCTAAGCCAGCGGTTTCCTTTTCTTTTTATCGCTTTAGTAAAACTACTCACTTGTTTTTGCAGTGTTTCTCAGTTGGGTGTTCAAAGTTGTCAGAATTGTGCGTTCCATGCTCCCGGGCCAGCTGCCGGGACAGTTTACTGGCCCAGCGAAAGGGGGTAGTTGTCAGAGTAGCCGGGGGGAGGAGCTGCCTGCCCCCACTGGGCGGGGGACCGGGGCGTTAGCCGCGCCCTGGGGGGCTATCATCCTGAGCTTGTCTGCTCCACAGCTCCAGTAATTAGGTTTCTGTTCATGGCGTGCACCCCGGGTTTGGCTGAGAGGGGTGAGTGTGAGTGGGAGCGCCACCCCACGAAGACTGCGCCGGCCTCGTGACTGCCCGTGGCCTGGGTGCCACTCACCTGCCCAGGGGTGGGCCAGAGGGGATGCCGGCGGCGGGCTGAGCCCGCTCGCCTGCAGGGCTGGGCCTGTGCGTGGACCCCTCTGCCCAGGCTGCCGGACTCTGGGCTGGCTGCGAGGGTCTCCTGGGTCACCACCTGTGCGGATGTGCTCCGGGGGACGTCTCGGGGGGGTCAGGTGAGGACAGTGTGAGCTGTGACCCTAAGCTGAGTTTAGGGGAACGCGGATCCGCCTCCAGTAAGGCCAGACTGGCGGAGTGTGGCGGGGGCGGGGCCGCCCAGAGAGCAGGTGAGTTGCTACATTTTCCAGCTTCGGGCTAACAGTTTTCCCTTTCGGAAACATTGTCTTTAGGATCCCGCCAGCATGTCAGATGTCTTAACAGCCACTTCCCGGGTTTCCTCCTGGGGTCTGTGACTGTCACTGGTGACGTGGGCACGGTCCCTTGACAGGACTAGGACGCCGACGCTGGGAGAGGCGCTTCACCAGCGACGGCCTGTCTGGCTTCCTGGGCTCCTGCAGCCGCCTGCCTCTGGCCAGACCCGGCCTGAGCGCCCTCGCTTCAGGCCTGCTGCGTCCTGGCCGGCCTCCGCGCCGCCACAGCTGTCCTGGTGACCTTGAGCACCTGGCGCTCGCTCTGGCCGCACCCGGTGGTATGAGTGGTTTCGGCTTTGGGGAGACAGCCAGAGGGGTGACGAGCTTTCTCAGTGCACCGGGCGCGGTGTGTCCACTTGGCCTGGGGCCCTTGTCAGGCGGCGCCAGCCAGGTCGGTGTCTTCTCTCCGCGAGAACCTGGCCGCAAGTCCAGCTCGCAGTCCAGGGGTGGGGTCAGCTGAGCTCCGCTTTCCAGAGAGGAGGGTCAGCGTTGGTGCATCTGCAGGAAAGCTGTCAAAGTGTTTGGGGGTGGACACCTCTCTGTAAGGTCCCGGTGGCAGCGCGTGGGCGAGAGAGGAAGTCTCTGCCCCGTTGGTTTTCATGTTTTGTCGCGTGAGCTTACCTGCCATCTAGTGAGACTTGGGGGGGGGCAGCAAGCGGGACCCCCAGGAGCGGGGTGTGAGGGCCCTCTCCCTGTTGTGGAGCGCAAGATAGAACTTGGGTCCCGTCTGCTAGATGTGTCCACGGTCTGCAGGGCCCAGGGCCGCCGGCTCCCGTCATGCCCCCCCCCCAACCTCGCCTGACCTCACACGCAGCCCCCCGCCATCCCGTCTTGCCATGATGGAAAACGGGCCTGTTGCTGTCAGGGCCAGACTGGCCGCGGGAAAGGATCCGTCTGGAGGGCTGCAGGGTGACCGTGCCCCCTGGGGGGGCTGGAGGACTGTGGGCTTCTCTTTGGGTCGTGTTTGGGCCAGGGGGCTCCTGGGGTGGGGGTCTGGTTTCAGCCATGAGCAACCTGTGGGGGTCCCAGGAGGCCCCGGTGCTTTGCCTGAGGAGCAGCGGCAGTGGCCTCTGGTGGGGCCCTCCGTGCCCCACGTTGCCGTCCAGGCTTGAGCCCACGCCTGTCCCTTCGCCAGCCAGCGGTGGGGGCCCCAGGTCACGGCACAGACGGTGCCTCCATGCATGCAAGAGGCCAGGTGCCTCCTCGCGCTCCCAGCCCGGCCCGCCTGGGCGTCGGAAGTGGCTCAGCCAGGCATGGCGTGTCCCAAGTGTCCTCGGCCGGCCCCGCGTGTTGTCGCCCCACAGCCCCGTCCGTGTGCGCTGGCCACTGCGAGTCCTGTCGCCTGTTTCCGACCTCTCAAAGCCGGGACTCCCTGAAAAGGAAGCCCCCGTATCCCAGGTGGGGGGGCTCTGTGTGCCGGGGCTCTGAAGACATTCAGGGGCCTCGCCCAGGACGGTCTGGCCATTGTCTCGCCCATGGACGTTGCGTGTAGGCCGTGGCCGGCACCCACGGGCAGGTTGGCCTCGGTGGCTGGCTGCGCCTTCTGGGGGCCAAAGGCGGCACGGGCCTGGTTTCCAGGCGACGGCCTCCCCGGCCCTCGGCCGCTCCCGCCTGCCTCCTTGCCAGTGTTGGGGGTCCTCCAGGACGTGGCGCTTGGGTCTCCTGGCCGGGTGCCGGGGGCTGTGGCTCGCGGCGTGTGCTTGTGGCCTGCGGCCCTCCGGACCTGGGTGCGGCTGGGGGTTGCGGGGTCCGCCTTTGGGGGCTGCCAGTCAGCGCGGCAGCCTGTCCAGCTGGAGCCACTTGAGTGTCTCCGCGTCCACAGGGGGCGGGGCGCCAGGCGGTGCTGCCCGCCAGCGCCGTCCCCCCAGCAGCCGGGTTTCACAGCCACACTCCGTCCCCGGCGACCCGCAGGCACGCCTGGGGGTGGCCAGCACCCTGACTCGGGGTTCCCGGAGATCTGAGCGCGGCGCAGAGGCCCGTCCGGGAGGCGCACTTGCTGCTGGACGGTGGCCGCTTCCCGCACGGAGGGGGCATCCCGCGGCCCCTCGCTTGGCCTGCGGCGCTCTGGGCTTCCGCGGCCCTCTGGGGGCCCCATCGCCGGGCAGCCGCACCTCTGTCCCGTTGGCAAGCTTGCTCAGAGCACCGCGGCGGGGCTCTCGGGGGCAGAGGGGGTGAAGCAGGTCCCCACGCCGGGAGCCCGCTTTCCCGAGGAGACTTGGGCTGCCCGCGGCTCTGAGCTCCCCGCCCTGCGCTCCCGCCGCGTGCTGCGAGCACCTTCCCGGAGGGCCCTCGCCTCCCAGGCCGTGCAGGCAGGCGGCTCTGTGCTGCCCAGTCGGCTCCTGTGTCCCGGACGCCTTCGGGGCGCGCCTCGGGGTGTCTGGGGAGCGGCCCTGGTGTGCACGGCCTTTCCCTTTGGGGCTCAGAAGTCCCGTGAGGAGCGGCGACTGCTCTTGAGAACCCGGCGCTGAGGTGGGGCGGACAGCGCTGGGCGCCTGGCTGCCTGGGAGTCTGCGCCCGCCCTCCCGCGCGCTGACACAGCCTGGGCCTTCTCACTGGACACTGCTGGTCATAGGCCGCGCGAAGCAGGTTTTCGGTTTCATTGGTGTAAAACTGACGGGAAGGCTGTGACCACCGCTGCTGTTTCTGCTGAGTTTACCTGTCACATCAAAGTTACTTAAGCGCCCCCTTCCGGGGGCCTGGGGGCACCCCCGGGCCACTCTGGGACCAGCGGGACCTCACTGCCGCCTGGGACTTCGGCCGCGGCGTCGCGTGGCTGGTTTCTGAAGTCGGCAACTTCAGTGGCAAACCCGGGCCACCTGCCTGGACACTCGGACGTGCTGAGGCCCAGTGTGTGCGCCCGCCGGGCCCGGGACAGTGTCCCTCCCAGGGGCCAGGTCACCCCCACCCCCCGGGGCGTGTGTGCTGTGCTGCGGCGGCCGGCCTCCGGTTGCACAGCGCAGGGAAGCGGAGCGCCCAGCTCCCGCCAGAGGACCCGCGTGCGGCCCTCACTCGTCCTCAGGCCGGCCGCCGCGCATTGGCACAGCGACGTCGTGGCCTTCGCCTCTGGGCGAGCAGGGCGCGTTTGCAGTGACTGGCTTCTGCTGCACGCGCGGCAGAACCTCTGGAGGGGTGGGTGTCCCCGGCTGCTCTGGGGCGGGCCGCGGCCGAGCTGGCCTCGGCTGACGAAAATGCCCTTGGCTCTGGGGGTTCACTGTTTGCACCCCGACGTCATCTGATCCCCGCAGACCCGATGTGTGAGCCCTGAGCCCACCGCCTGGGCAGTGCCCGTCCACGCCCCGAGGAGCCGGGCTCTCTGGTGCTGCTCTGGGGGGCTGAGCCGAGGGGGCCGGCTGGCTCGCCGCTGCCCCCCCGGACCAGCCTTTGGGGTTGACCTTCGCTGACCTCGCTCCCCAGGTTGAATCGACCAAAGCAATGGTGATGGAGAAGCCGAGCCCCCTGCTGGTCGGGCGGGAGTTCGTGAGGCAGTACTACACGCTGCTGAACCAGGCCCCCGACATGCTGCACAGGTGGGCCGGGGCGCGGGTGCGGCCGAGGGCGGGCGCCGCTCGGCCTCTTCTGGAGGCGGCCCTGCCGGCCGGTGGCTATTGGCGGCCCTGGCCAGCTCGAGCGCTGGAGGCCACACGCTGGTAGCGGCAGGGTCCAGCATCCAGTGCTGTCCGGCAGTGTCGTGGGCTTTGGCGTTTGGACAGGACAAGGGGATGGAAGCGGCCCCCGGGCCCGGCTCAGCAGTGACCATGGCAGCTGTTGCCGGGCAGCCTTTGCCAGGCCGCGGTGTGGGCGCCTCGGGGCTCCAGCCTCAAGCTCCAGGCACCCGGGCGAGGCTTACAGAGTCTCCCGAACACCACCGTGCTGTCCCGCCCGAGAGGCCGCTGGGCTCGGCCGCCCGTGTTCCCCAGTGACGGCAGGAATCATCTGGCTCCCGACACGAACACGGGGTGTTCCTTTCCCACCCCGAGACCCGGAGCCGAGTGGCTCGTCAGCCGAAGCTGGCCGGTGCGAAGCGGTGGTGGAGAGGGAGGAAGCCCTTCCCCGGCCTGGCCCGGCCGGGGGACGGTGCCCAGCTCGGGGCCTGGCGGTGACGGCCGCGGTCTGACTGCAGGTTCTACGGGAAGAACTCCTCCTACGTCCACGGGGGGCTGGACTCCAACGGCAAGCCGGCCGACGCGGTCTACGGGCAGAAGGTGGGTGCGGGCCCCGGGCTGGGGGTGGGGCCGTGACCTGGAGCGGGCAGGTGCGGCAGGGCCCCTGGGCCGGGTGCGCACACCCCAAGGCGCCGCCCGTCCTCGCCCCCAGGAGATCCACCGGAAGGTGATGTCGCAGAACTTCACCAACTGCCACACCAAGATCCGCCACGTGGACGCCCACGCCACGCTCAACGACGGCGTGGTGGTGCAGGTGATGGGGCTGCTGTCCAACAACAACCAGGCCCTGCGCAGGTTCATGCAGACCTTCGTCCTCGCCCCCGAGGTAGGCGCCCCAGGCCCCGCCCTGCAGCCGGGGCCCGGGCCAGAGGTGCGAGGGAGCGCACTCCCCAGAGACGCCGGGGAGCAGCGGGTGACGGGAGGGGCCTGCGTGTGGGCCACTCCCTGGCCGGGGATGGACCTCAGGCCACAGCAGCCTGAGACCGTCCGCGGCCACAGGGAGCCCCGACTCGCCGTTGCCGAGGCGCCCTGGAGCTGCTCAGCAGGACGGGTCTGTCCAGTCGTCCGTGCGGGGAGGGCACGTGACGCCGGCGTTCTCGCACCTGGGTCCATGGCTGCGGGTGGCCACGGGCCTGTCGCTGCAGGCCGAGTGCTCCCCCGCGGCCGGGCAGCCGTCGTGGCCAGACG